GTTGTTGAAAAAATACTTGTACAAGCAAGAACACACAAGCACTCCCAAAAACTGCTCTTCCGAGTTAGGATGAAGGATTCGTGGCTTGCTACCTCGTCTATTAAACTCGGCATTTGATGCAGTCCACTTTATTTCAGAAAACAGTATGGTCTAGAAACTTTCTTATAAGAACATTTGGAAGTCCCCCATGGTCCAGAGTGTAAAGGCACCCTGGGAAAGGGTAGCGTAACAGAAAAATTTCTTCTTTCCTCCACTTCCTTGTAATTCATGGCCATACCTATTTTGTGGAGGTATCCCTTAGATCCGGACGATTCAGGCTTTTCCTTTGGACAGATCGTGCAAGGGCCAAATGCTTTAACCGCAGCGCGGCCAATCTCCCGACTTTATTGACCATTTTTATGCGTAATCCACCGTGTTATGGAAATTGCAAAATCTTCAGGTCTTCGGGAATCTAGAGCCATCGTTAGGTCTTTTTTGAAGGCTCTATCGCCATTGTCGCACTTTTTCAAACCGTGATAACGGCACAGCTGCGATACTCACGGGCTACTGTATCCTCTCCATAGAATAGATTGTTCGACACGACCTCATCCAGGGTTATCGCTTTAGCCAAGACGACTGCAAGCTGTTGAACCACAGCTGTTTTTAGGGGTGCCCTTATATTACTGAAACGCACTATATTAAAAAAATTCAGCGTTCTCTGTGTCCTAGCCGCTTTGTTGGTTGGAGCCACGTGGCTGCTATTGGAATTCCGTCCGTCGTACAGGTAAGCCGGTTTATTCGTATAAATTTCGTCTTCAGAGATATGCTTCCTCTTCGTGGAACCGATATCGAATTGGGGGCAGAATAGAACTGTTTGGATTAGTTATTGGGAATCCTCTATTTGTGTGCTATTCGGATTAGCAGATATCTGTTTTCGCTGACGAAATCCATGCTTCCAGGAATCGAATTCGTCGTACTGACTCGGAACAGGCTCGTATTGAGATGAAGTCTTTCGAAGAAACGAAATACCTACGGCGTTACTCAGAACTCAAGTAAGACCGTTCTCGATCGCTTATTTGTTCGAATTTGTTGCAACGATGTCTTACTTTTGAGCATTTCATAACTCCATTAGATAAGCGGACGAGCGTATCGACACCACATAAATATTGCCTTTCATGTGTGTGCTTTCATTTTTTGTGAGTACGTTCTGCTATTGTACGTTAGATTGTTAACCCATTTCTGTGCTGATCAGGCTTTGTGGCCTGGCTCCGACTTCGTATAATGTATGCTATACGAAGTTATTACGAATCGTCGATGTGAGGCAGTGTGGGGTGCTCGGGAAGCGTGTATTACATTTTGTTTGTTTGGCCTCATACAAATAGTGTGCGGCTGCGTCATTCGCGCCTTGGGGAGAAAGCGATAGAATAGAATTCTCTTCAGAGTAAGCCAGGAACCGGGAAATTTGTCTGATTGACCATCTGATTTCCCCTGTAGAACTGTCGCAACTGTCGGCGGTGGGGAGGTAACACGTTCAAACGTGTTGTAAGCTTTGAAGGCAAAAGAATCAGGAATTAAATTGATGGGTGATTCCACTCAAATGTGAAAGTAGGGATGGGAGGTGGACCGCCAATGGAGAAAAAAAAAAAGAAATCCTGAAATACACAGGAAATACGAGCATTTTGCTCTATGCTGTGGAGAAGTTCAAAAGACAGGCAGGGAGATGAGAGATAATGTGAGCGCGGAGAGCGGTAGAGAAGTCCGAGAAGAGAGAGCATAGCAGATCAACGTGGCGACGCAGACAAGATATCGAACGGTGGGCGGACCATGTTAAGTTTGGTGGAGTCTGTTAGAAGTCCATGGCGCCGCTATTTGCATTTGCATATCAGCCCTTCTAGCCATGGTGAGGTCTTCTTAGGTGGCTCTGAATTTGCTTTTAAACATACAAGAATTTCACATTGGACCTTCCCAGGAAATGTGACTTTGCACCAGGGTCAACTGTCCGTTCGCACTGTCGTTCTATCAAGGGGAAGGGCGCTTGTGATTTTGGGAAAGGGCTTACATTTTGAAGTAGAGGAAGCTACCATAATGGGAACGGGGATTGAGGGAGGTCGTTAAAGAGGGTTGTGTTTCGAGAGGTTTTCTGACGAACATTCCAAAAGCAGTGAAGACAAAGGTGATTTGCAACCTTCTTGGAGAAATGTGTGCGAAGTTGGGTTATTTCGACTTGTGTCGACTGGTTCAAAATCAAATTCTGTAGAAACATCCATGATGGTGCGGGTGGCGGTCGAAGAAGTGGGAAAGGAGATCGTATTGGGGGAGCTTTCTAAGACTGATGGTGATAGTGGGGGTCGCAAAATTTTTGAAAAAGTGCGAACGTGAAGGATGACTCCTCGCACATCATATTTGTGCGAGGAAAGTTTGAACAGCTTCATCCGTATGATTCCTTCGAACCTAAGCCCAACCCTAGGCCTCAGGCTATGCTGATGTGTAGGCATGAG